GAAAAGTGCAACCAATAATTTTATTTTCCGCGATAAAGCACGGCCTCTCTCCTCGGTGAGCGTTCCGGGGTGGCACGCCGGCGAAAAGGGGTGGAGGGCCGCGTATCTTTAGTAAGTAAACAGAGCGCCTTATGAATTTTAAGCAGCGCGACGAGGAAAGTACGACCTGCTTCTTCTTCTTCTTCTTCTTCTTCTTCTTTTTCCTCTTATTTGACCTTCTTTCTTTATTTTACATTTTCCTTGTCGTTCGTGTTCTCGTTCACCTTCGTCATCCACCTCATCGCTTCCTCCCCTTTGACGTAATTCGATGAAAAAGGGGCGAAAGTAGACACGTAAGTTGTTGCGAAAGTTTACAATTTGATTGAGAAACGAGAGGGTTATAATGCATATGTTTTTTTCGGTCGTTGATCGAGTGGTGTATGTATTAATTAGTTTTTGAAGGTTTAATCAATGTAACAATGATACATTAATAGAGAAAGAATTTTAGAGAAAGATATTGATAATTGAATTATACAAAAACCAAAACAATTCTGTTGAAGTTAAATTAGATTATAATGTTAACTTAAATATTAATAATATATTTTGGTATCAAGATCAAGAATTTTGATCATCTTGGCTTATAAATAATTTACAAATTAATACATTGCGTTTAACTAATATGTTGAAAATTTTTGTATGTTTCAGATGTGCTATCTAAGATCGAGTCTTCCATTTTCGGTTCTCGAGCAGCACAACATATTTAGTCCACCATGAAGCATGTATACCGTGTGCAAACGATTAACAAGGTTGGAGAGAACCCTATCCCCCTTTGAGGCGAACGCAAAGTTTGCTTTAGAGGGGTGAAACCAAGCGCGCGCGAAAAAATTCTGCGAAGAGGTCAGTCGTTACCTTCGGCAAACGGAACAAGAAGTTCACCTGGGCTAAAGATGGCGGATATCGTTTTTCATTTATGACCACGTTTCGATGTCTTTAAACGAGACACTTTAGAGATTCCCATTTTAGAGATGCTCGATATAGTTTCGATCGATTTTATGAATCGTAGGAATTTTAAAAATTGTAAAATTCGTAGGTTCTCTAAGAATTTATTTATTTACATTTACAACAAAATGCTAAATTGAGCTTTCGTTATTTACTTATCGGACTTTATCATTAAAAAGTATAAATAATTCAAAAATTACTGTTCGAATATGCATCATCGACAACTAATTAATAATTCTTATAACAATTATAACGCTTCTTTCATCAAACAATCAAATTCAAATTACATAAAATCAATCATTGACGCGATCATAAAATCTAATCATCGATCCACCTCCCAAAATCCACCCTCCCAAAATCCACCCTCCCAAAACTCACTCGATCCTTCTTTCCAATTTAAAAATAAAAACCATCCTGCAAGAAAGAAAAGCCATTGCAAACATCGAATATCACTCAACTCAAGACGAGTTTTCCAGGAAAACACGTCGAGTTTCCTCGCTTCGGATTTTCCGTCAGAGTGGGCGGTCATGCGGCGTTGTTTTGATATTGATCTCCGGATACAACACCGTCTAAGCATTCTAATGGCAAGGGACGGGGATTCTGCGCGCTGCATGGCGCACGTGTTTCTAATGATTTTAGTGGTACCGAGGTCTACCTACCGGCGATATATAGTTATAGTCGGCTACGAACATGTATTACATCCACTCCGCCGGGGCACCGTGTAATATGTCGGAATTGCGGAAAGGGGTAACGCGGCCTGGAAGCCGGAGAGAGCCCGCGAGGATGGTCTTGCGGGATTCTTAATGGCGAAAGGCCTCTGAGGTAACACTACGGCTATTAAACGCAGACCTCGCTACTTTGTCTACCTTACTTCTCTCTCTCTTTCTTTTACTTCCTAGTTATATCCTCTTTCTCTTTTCGTTTGCGACAAACGTATAGGGTGGTTTTCCGTTACGTCCACTGGAATGCAATGGTGTCGACGATGAGATGTTTTTTCGACGGTTGATAAGACATGGTAATTTTTATGGAAATATCGGGAGGATTTAAGGTATGAGGTATAAGGTAATAAATAAAAAGTAATAATTATTTTTGTAACGTTGTATTTATTGTAGTATTATATATACATTTATATTACATTTATTTAAGTGTTACATAATTATATACATTACATTATTGTGTATATAGTATATTACATATTTATTTGGTATTATATAAGTTAATTAAATGGTATAGAAAAATAAGAGGATATATGTAAATACTTACTCTGTAAAGAAGAAAGTTCTGATGATAAATATCACTTTTGTGAATCTGTATTTAGGTTTATTATTCATGTAAAAAGAATTTGATTACGTTTTCTGCGTTATTATTCGCGCGAAATATTTTTATATGCTTATTGCGATTTATTTAGTTACTTTTCCTTGAATACATTTTTTAAAAATCCCTAAAAAATAAATAAGAATAAAAAGTATTAAATATTCATTTCTCTTCCAATTTCAGAATTAATTCAACATCTACCCCTTAAACCACGATTAAACGAGTTAAACTCGCAGGAACGGAGTAAAAATAACAATCTAACGAACTTTCTTCGAAATCGTAACAATTAATTTCATCCCACCAAATCTACGGCGCATCCCTTAATCGCAATTAAACGATCACGCGAAAACCGGAAGAGAAACGGAATAAAAATAAGAAAAGATACACTGGAGTGAGTGGTAGACCCCGAACCAAGGATAAGTAACGAAAATGCAAAGCCCGGATCAACCGCGCTCATCCCCTTTGGCGTCGGCGTTTGACGCGACCGCTGAAATTTTTACTTCGTTCGATTTGGTCTTTCGGGGATTCCCCGCCCTCTGATTGGTGGACTCTGGCCACGCCCTGCACATAAGGGTGGCTTGCTCGCCGGAGCACTATCAACCCTTATATATGCCCGATGTGAGTACACTTATGTGCACGGGCGCATATATGTAACCGGTGCAGATTTCGCGCGTACATATATGTGCACACGGGCCGGGGTACATAGGCGTAGGAAACCGTGTGTACACCGGGTGGGGCTCTCGCAGGACTGGGAGGCAGCCGACGGTGAACACTCGATACGACACGGTCGATCGAACCAGTCGTAATTTTAGTTATAGAAACTGTTATATCTGAAAATAACGATGATCGTTATTATTATTTTTTCTTCTTCTTCTTTTTCTTTTTCGCGCAACTCTCACGAGACTTGAGAGAAAAGGGATGGGATCGAAGGGAGACACTTGGCATCGAGTAAGTGTGTGAATTTTAGGTAGGTTTTTTTTTTAATTGGATAATTTTTATGCTTTAAAATGATATATATTTATATATTGCTTTTTGATATTTAAAATTTAGATGAAAGCTTGTTTTTTGTTTAAAATATAAATTACGTAAGTATATAAGGATATATATATATAAATATTTTACAAAGTTAATAAAAATATTATATTTTATATAAAAAATTAATCAATTTTTTTGTTTTCATGAATAAAAAATATAGAAAAATAGGATGATTTGAATATCGTTGGAATATTATTTAAAAAAAGAAACAGGGAAAGGAGTAGAATAAGGATTTTAAAGTTCAACGATACTGCGATAATTTAGTGACGAATGAAGGTCTATTTGAAATCTGATTAGCCTCACAAACGTCGACATTATTGCTTGTAATTAGTCGGTATTGAATAACGTAATCGGAATAAAAGGGGTGGATTCGTAAGTAACGGCGGAAATTGCACGATGTTTCAAGTATGACTTCGCATTAACGGCCTGGTACACGGAAAGGGAATTTACGTAATCTCGCAGAGTTGGATTGTTTTGCGCTACGAATTGAATAGAATAAGATGTCACTTCACCGGGAAGAGAATATTTTCATGCTGGGAATATTTTATACGAAATTTATGCCTCAGAGGGATAGACAGAGACGAGAGAAGGAACTTACGATGTCTACGTATAGATATTACTCTTTTACAACGGGACGAAGTAGAATAAGATGTCACCTCAAATTGTCTCGAGTGACTAAAATAGCTTTACGTTACAAACCTTAAAAGCAACGCCAAAGAAGGAAGACGAAGGGGAGAACGTGCGAAATACACGCGGGAAACGGCGTTATACTAAATTCTCCTCTTTCGAAATGATATGTATTTCAAAATTAATTGCGTGCAAGTGCGAGCATCTTTCATGATATATCGCAGTAACCCTGCTATTCACCTTCCTTTGAATTATTCTTACTTAATTATCTCGCGTACCTCGACAACCCATCGTATTCTTAAAGGGGAATTTTATTTGATGTCATATACGAATACGAATCTCTATTTGTACTTTTTATTTTTTTTAATCGTTTTAACAAATTATCAAGTTTTGATTTTTATATTAAATTTTGTATTTCCAAATTAAAAAAATTTAAAAAGATTTTGTTTTTATTTAAAATAATTTAGTAATAAATGTAGTAATAATATAGTAATAATAATAAATAATTTAGTAATAATATTTACATAAAAATATGTAACAAGTGTTTAAAATATAATAAAAGAAAATTGGATAAAAGAAAATAATATTCTCTTTAATATTGTAAAATAATAGAAGATAGTATAAGAACGATTGATGTTTTAGCGCTTAGTTTTTAAAGTTGAATTTCGCGGTAATCGAAATTTCGATATTCAATATAAACTTTTCGATTCAATATTTCGATAGTGCGGGAATATGTTCGAACATAGTTCTTCTTATATGCGAAGCGAGCGGTGCGGCGCTCGCGTCAGTACCGTGAACGCTTCAAAACAAAATCGTGTTCGGTGGAAAGTTTCTTCATTTGTGATTGAAATGATCGAGGAACACGACGAGCACGAAACAATATGCGACTCAGTGGTAAGTATTACGATGTACTGATCATGATTATATTAATAATTTTTTATTGAGAAGCTGGTGATTACGAATATGTATATCTTATAAGATTCTAACCTTACTTTCAGAATTCGCTGGTGGAAGGCTGCCGTTTACCAGTCAGAATGCATGGAACGGATGATTGGCGTAAGTAAAGTGTTCATTTTTGATTAATTAATCCATATTTAAGAAATTTGTGATTTTTTTCTCGAAATCACGTATATGTTTTTGTATGACAAAACCATTTAATAAGTGTGTTATTGAATCGCATATTTCATAGACATACTAATATTTTTATTCATTAATATCGTTGCAATCATATTCTATAAGTCAGAAATGTATTTAATGAAGTATTGATATTCATTATCCATACATTTTGTTTAGTTCAACTTTTAGGTTATGTTTAGGTATCTTGGATGATAATAGTTTGTATGACATGCTGTCTTCTATTGTTTCTTGGGAGTCTATTATGATTCCACTTATTTAGGTGTAATAATAAAGGTTTATCAAAAATTTCCTTTTGTCATCCACAGCTCTTGCTGAAATCATCAGTGTTAAAGAAGTACATGGTGTCAAGTGTTATTATGTTCACTATGTAGATTGTAAGTATAACGCGAATTAAGAAGAGAGGTGTTACATATATGTACATAAACAACCGTTTAACTAAATGTACAATATTTTAGTCAATAAACGATTAGATGAATGGGTTACGGAAGATTGTTTGGACACTCGAAAAGTCCAATACCCTCGTCGAGATGGAACCACACCAGGAACTGGTGCAGCAACGCCAAAAAAACAAGTACCCAGTAGACCACCTAGCCCTAGTAGCCTTTGTAATGAACCAGTCAATGGTTCTGCAGTTTTGCAAGCTGCATTACAAAAGAAAATGTCTAGAAAAAGAAAGGCCACATTTATAGAAAATGATGATTCTCAGGATGGTCCACCGCAAACACCTGGTCCAAGGCCAACTGGTTCATTAGTGGCGCATCATCACGATGATATAGTTACTAGAATGAAAAATGTTGAACTGATAGAATTGGGTCGTCATAGAATAAGACCTTGGTATTTCAGTCCATATCCGCAAGAGATGGTACATTTACCATGTATATACATTTGTGAATTCTGTTTGAAATATAGAAAAAGTCGAAAATGTTTAGAGCGACATTTAGCAAAATGTAATTTAAGACATCCACCTGGCAATGAAATATATAGAAAAGGTTCAATATCATTTTTTGAAATTGACGGTCGAAAAAACAAAAATTACGCACAAAATCTATGTCTATTAGCAAAATTATTTTTGGATCATAAAACGCTATATTATGACACAGATCCATTCTTATTTTATATAATGACAAATTTTGATAGTAGAGGATACCATATAGTTGGTTACTTCTCGAAGGAGAAAGAATCGTCCGAA